GATTTAAAGTGACTTTTTAAATCTTAAATTAGGAGTCTGCATAGTTTCAATATGTCCCCATAATTCACTATTATCATTCACCTTTAAAGACTGACATACACACACTTTCACCTTTTTTCTTTGTGTAATTTGAACAAAGCTTACGCACAAAGCTTGCATTCTGGTGGAATCAACAAAGTCACAGATGTAGTTTTTCTCCCTGTTGGCCTCTGCATCTAAAATCTCACATTTTAAGAACATTTTTTGCTCAAGCACCTCTGGTTTTCATGAAAATTGTTATTGTTATGCCTTTTTTGTTATATTTTATCTATATCTACTGATTCATTTTCATATTAAGAAAAGCCAGTGAAAATTTCAGGCTTTTATCTTTAATAGTTTTTGAAATATTCACATTAAAACATTTTCTCAGCAAAAAAAGATGCTGGAAGTGAGTTGACAGACCATTAAAAAAGGCATTCTGAAAAGTATTTGATAAAAGGAGCCAAAATTTCACAACTGCCACATATATATCCACATCTTATACCTTAAAATGTTTAGGCAAACTGGAGATGGTTAAGCAGAAGATCCACATTGATTTGAGATTGCATATATTTGAAATCAACTCAGGGATATCTTAGAGTAGATTTTGCTTTGGGCTTTATACCTTGGGCCTTGAAGATGATGCAAATGCACCAGTTATACTTAGGTTAGTTGACGAGTTCAACTAAACGGATTTTATTAGTAACTGGATAAATTATCCTCCCCCCACAGGAAAAATTGTGATGGTTAAATCTGCAGCTTTACAGCTAAGACCACATTTTCTACATCACACTTTTTTTTTTTTATTCCTAGCTTCAATTCAGGTGAGCTGGTGTCTGCACAGACTTGAGAAGCTCTGCTTTGTCTGAGACGTGTCTTTTCCCTTTGCCGGTAAAACCTTTGTCCCACTTTTATAAGATCTCTCTGTTCTGCCTCAAGACAAGTGTGTGCACACACAACACACCCTTTCAGCCTAAGAACAAGTGCCCATGTGTTCAAGCAGGATGAAGATCTTCAAAAGCTAAGCACAGCTGCAGGTTATACCACCTAATGAGCAGGTAGTGCCTCCAGCATAGCTTGTTAACAATAGCTGCCTGTAAAACCAACACGAGTTAAGTTTTTGATGAATTACTCCTTTTATACCAGTCGAAACAGGATAAGCTGTCGCTCAACAGTCAGGTATCATTTAAAATTTAACAGACCAATTATGATCCAAACTAAATTTTACTGTAAACGTGATTAGACATGCCTCGGAAGATCCGATGTAACTTTAGTGGTTTCTTAATAAAGGTTACAATTATAGATTTAATTCATAGTTTACTCAAGCGGTCAAAGCATAAACTATATGTTGAAAGCAAGATCAGCTCAGGTTTCTTATGCTGCTTTGGACATGTGAATTTTTTAAGCTCTGTTGCATCATCTAGCTGTTATTGACGTTTTTCACAGAAGCTGTTTTAACATAAATTAGCAGGCAAACACAGGTGTTACTAATTACAATAATATCTGTTTATGCACAGAGCGTTCATTAATGTGTTTAGCAACACCTGTGTTTACCTGGTATTTGTCAAAACAGCTTCTGTGGAAAACGTCAATAACGGGTAGATTATGCAGAACAGAACTTATAAAATTCACATGTGCATTTACAGCAGATACTTGCTAATCACCTGAACTACATCAATAAAGCAGCCATTAAAACAAAGATTTCCTTTCAGATCAAGAGCAATGACTCCGAACACTTAGGCCATTTATTACTCCACTCCTAAGAGATAACGAGACATAAACAATGTGTGCATATAAAGAAGAAATAATCACTAGAACACCTTTGCATTCACTCATTCCAAATGTAGCATGTCAGATAATTGTTTTGATGCTAAATTCTGCAGTTACACCCAACAACCTTTGCTACACCTTTTAAGCCAGGGTGTAAGGACTATCCAAACGAAAGACGCTAACATTGATTTCATTTTGTATTTTAAGATCAAAGTCAAACCAGTTTAAATCATGTCAAGGTCATGTTTTGACTTATCTAAAAATTTCAACTGATCTCAGAATTCTGAGTTGAACTTTTGAGACTACTTAGTAAGTCAAAATTTAGATATCAACTCTAAATTTCTCATTATTATATCAACATTTTTAGATAGGCAACTTGGAATTTTGAGTTATTATAAGAATATTTAGATATTAGCCCCCCAAAAAACAAACGCCAAGCAAAATCAGTATCAGTAACAAGCTTTCATACAACTTCAGCCTAGGTTAAAAACAAAGGACTTCCTTCAGACTTTGGCAGCTAACGTAACATTTTCATTTCACTCAAAATGTTAACTTACTTCTGAGTAAGTTAATTTTCTTAAATATTATTACCTAATTCGAAAGTTTCTGTTATTAAGTCTAAAATTTGAGATGCTAAAGAGTGAGAAGGAAAAATAGTGGCAAATGTAGCATGCTAATGCCATCAACTTAAGGTGTTAGCATGCTCACGCCATCATCTTAAGGTGTTAGCATGCTCACGCCATCAACTTAAGGTGTTAGCATGCTCACGCCATCAACTTAAGGTGTTAGCATGCTCACGATGCTATTCTTGGTATGAAAAGAGCCTGAAGACTTAAAACTTAATTTTCACTATATCTTATAAATTTATATCTTATTATTTATATCATTTATATCTTATTGGGCAGTAAACACTGCATCATTTTCGTACTTTTCATTGCCAAGTGAGGTTGTAGCAAATAAGCTGCTAATCTAAAACATCTAGCATACTCAGCATTTACTATAACGCTGCCTTTCTTGCTGTGTACTTTATTCCAGACATTATTAAAAGATCTGAGGGGTAAAGAAATTTCTAGTTTCAGTAAAGCATGAACTTCTGGGCTGGTTTATTCACGCCAGTGGATAGGAGTTTCCCCTGGCTGCTGACATCCCTGACAATAGCCTCAGTGTAAAGCAAAAGCTGGCCTCTCTTGTGCCTGTTTACCACTGCTGCAGCTCTGTGAATAAATCCTTTCTTTCTCTGTGTATTAAACATGTTCAGTTGAGATGTGTCAGTGTGGCCCACTTCCCTGCTCTACTCCAGCAGCAAACAAACCTCATGTTTCTTGGCACCTGTTCCTGTTGGTTATTTGGACATATATTATTTCTCTGCTGGTCTATAAATAACATGGGCTTCTTGTATTATCCATCATTATGACATCTTTTTTCAGTCTGCTCACCATTAGCTAAGTCATGAGGAAGATGTAAGAAACTAGATCATTTCTTAAAAGACAAGGAAGCTATTGTTGAAAGGATCTGGATCTTTCTTAGCTTTTTCAACTCCTGTTAAAACCAGGGCTTGGAAATTGTGGTATTTGTCACCAAAACAGTTCAAAGAGCTGGTGAATTAGGGGTGATTAGCAAAAAGAGACGATAGTATTGAAATGTATTTAATATGAGAGCTAATCCATTTTAAAACGTGCATGATGACGAATTTTATATTTATTAAAAGACAAAGTCAACTTGAGTACAGTGTTTGAGCTTTAGCCACGTAACTAAAGCTTTTATGGTACACCACTGCCCCCTGGAGGATAACAGCCTGACTTCATTTTCATGCCCTAAAAATGGGCTTCTAGCTCTGAAATTAGCATATTGCTATTTGACAAGTAGACTCATTAAATTATTAAGTATGTTTTGAGGTGATGGATTTTCTGTCTTATGTTACATGTTACCAACAAGCTTGGATCATAAGATATGCTCTTTAAATCTGGTCTCTGCTTAAGATATGTAGAACGTGTACAAAACCTCAGCACTGAACAAGAAAAATACATTCATATTAGTCCTCAAAGCAGCCTTCTGGCATATCGTGCTACATTATATCTTATGCACTTGCAGAAGCACATTGTGTCTTTTCTTTGCTGTGTCCAGGGTGGTTTTGTAGATGTAGACGGAACCGTTGTCACTGAGCTTTAATTGCTTTGTGGGTTATTGTTAATTAGATTTTAAAAAATGTAACCACCGCCTGAAATCACGTGGGGCTTTGATAGATTTCCCAGTGAATCCCTAAAGGAATTTTGCTCTCAAATAGTCTGAATAAGATCACCATTTCTCTGAAAAAATGGTTTGACAGGGTTTTCTTACCTCTGAGTTTTAACTCTCTCTCTCTTCTATATTTAACGCACCATCTCCTTCTTCTAATTTCTGATCTGTTTCATAAGGCAGAATATTGAGAACTGAATGATGTGCAAAAGCTGTGCACGTACCCCCTGCAGTTTTGACCTTAAAATCCTTGTCCGGGAGGGCTGATGTTGATTGGCACCCAACCTCCCAACTCCTCCCCCTTTTAGCTGTACCGCAGTGCAGCTCGTGCTGGCAGGCCCCTGCAAGGTTACCGCTGCTTCACCGAGAGGGCTGACAAATGAACATAGAAGGCAAACATCTGAATATTTCCTCCCACTAGCACTTGCCCCATCTTGCACAATTTATTAGCGAATGATGGAGCGGACCATTTACTGTGGTGCTAATCTTCCTTTGTTTACTGTCTGCCGTTTTCTCATAGGGAAATGAAAGCTTAGGGAATACATAGCAGACTGTGGTCATTTGTCATTCTGTAATGCAAAGCTATAGTGAGTCATATAAATATTGTATGAGCTGTAATATTCTGATATGTTCTTAAATAAATGAGGGAGACAACGAGTAGTAGATTTGATATATTTCTGGTGACAACTCAAACTAGTTTTCTTTTCTTTTTGTAGATAACAGTTTAAAAGTGGCCCAAACAATCTTATAAACTGATACTGGAAAATCAAAAATATGTCAGTGTGTGTTGTCTAATATCTACCAAGCTACATGCACAATTTCTAACACAGCATAATGTAGAAACTACTATAGAACAATCTGCAAAGCAAATTCAAGGCATTTCTTTGTGACCAGTTTCTGACCGTACTCTAAAACACATTCATAAGAAGTTGGTCTCTCATTTTAGCTCTAAAATAACCACATATCAGCTCCATAAATTGGTATCAGAATTCTTTATGATGTACACCTTGCTAGTACCAGGTTGGAACCCCTTTTGCCTTCAGAGATGCCCGTGCAGGACAGCAAGTGCAAATTGTAGCCTCAGTTTCCTATTCTTAGGTGACGGATGCGGCCTCCTGGTGCAGGTCGAAGCAGTCGATCCGTTCTCCTCAGACATCAACAAGGCATTTTCACATAGAGAACAGGTTAACAATCATTTGAGTCACGGTAATGAGTCTTTGAGCGCATTGTGTATTCTTTAATGTACAGCTTCATTTGGTTTGTCTTAAAAAAAGAACTTCTTCATTTTAAAGATTTCATTTGTCTTACAACATCGACTATTATAAACTGACAAGCTGCCGTTATAGAAAGGAGGGGGAAAAAACCCATACAACATAAACAGAAAGAAATACTTCAAATTTCAATAGGTGTCCTATGATTAGTGTAATTTCTGCTATAAAAAACATTCTACATTCATCTGTCATTTTTATCATAAGGCACTATAACAATGATATGCTACACAAGGATTTTTAACAACTAAAAGGTACTTTAAAGGTCACAAAAAGTGTGGTACAGTTCTTCACGAATCAGCAGGTTTACCTCTTTTTAAATAAAACATCTCATTCATTTTGTGGTATCAGAAACATACATTTGAGAACATGAATCCAACTAATGCAAACATTAGGGCAAATAGCTGGAGAGAGATTTTCAAATATATAACAAACAACCAAAAAAAGTCATCATTTAAAAAAAAAAAAAAGAGTTTCAGTGTTGTTTCCAATGTTTGGTTGTAGCATGACAAAAAACCCCAACAAAACAAAAACAACAGCAATAAAAAAAAAAAAAACAAACAGTCGCTACATACAGATGAGATGAGATTTATGAATCCACGGCTGAGTTTCATCAGGAGCTCAAAGCTCTTTTTATCCTTGCATTGACGAAATCGTTTTTCTTGAACCCCAGCTGTTGAAAAAGTGTAGGTTAGCGTGCTGTATTTCAGACTTTCAAAAAACATAATGTATGTTTTCTCGCTGCACCGAACTAAAAACTTAAATATCAAAAAGTTATTTAACGAACTGAATGATGCAAATGTGCAGTTTAGTGCTGTGGAATACTACAAATTTTGATATCGATCTGATACTAATAAATATAGGGGCAGTATTGCCGATATCAATACAGACAGCGATACTTTTAATCTATAATGGTGGCTTATATAAGAGAGAGCAGTGCGGCATGAGTTATGAGATGAGTCATGACCAATTTGCCAATTCTGAACACACTTTTCTCAATAATTAGTTAATAGAAACATTTCAGCATGTTCAAGCTAGTGCATGTCTGACCTATATTTTTCACTTGGCTACGTACTTAACATAGAAACAAAGTATCAGTCCTGTCATGCTAGTATTGATCTGATACCAATATCAGCTTTGGTATCGATACTATGGATATTTAGATCAATCCTCTGAAAGACACAGCTGAATAATGTAACATGCAGCAATGTATCAATAACTAGCAGCTCAGTTCTTTGTTTAAATTAAACAACTTTAAGAGGAAAAGAAGCCATTTCAACCCTCTAAGCCTAAAACACATTTTTAAGTGCTGAGACAGCAACTTAAAGTGCTCATAATGAAGTGTAAAGACATGAAGAAAATCATGTGCAACATGATATGATAGGATGCGATGTGTGCAGGAACTCACTTTCTTGAGGGTCTCATGGACTTCATTGTTTTTCCATATTACGTGCAGCAGAAGGCACGCTGCCTTTTGCATACGACTGGGTCTGTAACGAGGAGAAGGAAAAGGTAAAAATAATACATGCTGTTTTTCTGAACCGTGAGTACTTTTACTTTTTATGCTTATGGTGAACTTTGGATTGATTCCAAAAGTGAAGCAATCCTCATAGATTCCTTTGCTAAAATTACACAATTTATATATTATATTATTGAATTATATTTTGGCCTCTGTACTTAACTTCCACCTTCATAACAACTAACCTTCACAACCATGCCTGTTTGGATTTTGTCAAGACTCTAAAATAAATCGAGGGGCAGCATTAATTGCTTCCTGTCTTCTTGGCATCACTTCAGACAAAATTGAATGTGCTTGTTGTGTGTGTGCCCCTTTTCCACGCTTTTTAAAAACTTCCAGTTGCATTAATTCTGGGCTTTACCTTTTCCCGCTAGTACGATTCTAGCATTTGTTAGTATGTTAATTAGGCATGTGGAATGTGGCATGCACCCATACAACCTACGAAAGCAGTTCCCTCATAACTTTGCGCTAGCCTGTTCATAACTTTGCATGGCTATAGCATTTATTCACATCAGTTTTTTAATTATTCACTTTTATCTGAAGTACCGAGACTCTGAAGAAGTTACTTTATGTTATTGCTACTTAAAGGAACTAAATACAATGGATTAGGTAAATAATGACATAAAAATAAACTAAACAAAATAATGGCACATATATCATTATCTTGCATTGAACATACAACTTCTCATGTCTTGTATCTGAGTGGTTTAGTAATGTAACTAACCCTTTGTCTGTCTTGCTGATGTTGATGATCTTTGGGATGCCGCGGTTTTCGATTATTGCGTCGGCATTCTTCGCATCACTCAGGCACAGGTAAGTCAGGATTTCACATAGAGAAATCGTCACCTCACTAGTCAGGTTGACGTCGGTGCTGTCAAAGGGCAGATTTTTCACCATCTCTGGCAACACCTTGTTTGCTTTAGGAGTAAAACAAGTCATGTAAAAGAGCCGTTCAAAAGTGCGGTTTGTGGTCGTGGTGGAACGATAATGGGAAAAGCTTAGAGGAGACATCAAAAGTTACCAATGGCAGGACGAAGTTGATCGTAGCGTGAGATGTTTTTGATTAGAGATACAGCAGGTATCTTTAGATTACTACTTGCACCGTTTAAAATTTCCTTAATCTTCTCAAGACCATTTTCCCGCTGAACAATGACAACGGCGATGCCTCTGTTTATCTGCAGACCACAGAAAAAACATTTTAAATATGTCTTACATGTATGACTTTAAAATACATATACATGTAAATATAAATGTGCTAAACAATACTAATGCATAATGATCAGGTGGCCAAAACAAAAGCTGTTAAATCTGTTAAGCTGTCAAACAGTACTCCAGACTAATCTACCCTTCATTTGACTCATACATACATCTAATAAAGTGCCAGAGATACAGTAGACACACTTGCCTCTTTTCTGCTTACACATCGAACCTATAATTAGATTAAGAGCTGAAGTCCTTCCCATCTTACCTCGTGTTTTCCAGCTGTGATGTTCTGCAGAGCACCAATGGCAGCCTCCTTGATGGTGTCATTTGTACTGCAGGCCATCAGTAATATGTACATCCGCACAGTGATCGTGTCCCACAGCCACTCTATGCCATGGGGGTTGGGGTTGGGCTCGGGCTCGGGCTCCAGCAGGGGGTGCTGATGCACTGCATACTGAGAAGAAGGAGTTTACGAGACAGACTCCAGGTATGTGGGTCCAGTCGGTTCAAATTTACAACAAGAGGTGGCTAACCGTGTTAGCAATTGATTTTATTCAGTATGGACATCTAAAGACTGGTGCTGCATCCATTTTTCCACATTTTCATATTGGAAGTTTAAATTCCTGGCAACAGTTTTAGTGCAAAAGACATACTTATACAGCTTTAGGGAACCAAATCCACGCATCCAGATTTCATTCTTGTAGGAGGCAGAATAACAATCACTGTTAGAGCATCATATTGAAGCCCATAGTTTTCAAAAACTATGCAGTCAGTAGTTACAACTTCTCATTACAGCAAATACCTAACCAACCAGTCACATGGCAGCAACCCTGTATATTTAGGCATATAGACATAGTTTAAATGATGTGCTGAAGTTCAAATTGAGCTTAGGAATGAAGAAGATAGATGATTTAAATGTCTTTGAATGAGCACAGTTGTAGCTGCCAAACTGGGCTGGTCTGACTACTTCAGCAATTACTGATCTTCTAGGATTTTCCCACACAACCATGGTTTACAGAGAATGGACCAAAATAGAAAAAAAATATCCAGTGAGCGGCAGTTCTCGAGGCTAAAATGCCTTGTTGAGCCAGGACTTGTTGATCTCAGAGGAGAATGGACAGACTGCTTCCAGCTGATGGAAAGGCAAAAGTAATTTTTTTTTGTAAATTTTAAATAACCGCTCATTACAGCTTAGGGTGCAGAAGAGCATCTCTGAAAACGCAGCATGTTGAATCTGTTGGCTGCAGAAGCCCACACTCCTGTCAGATAGGAACAGGAAACTAAAACTACATTTCACATAGGCTCATTAAGATTGGACAACAAAAGCCTGGAATAATGTTGTCTGGTCTGATGAGTCTGAATTCAACTCAGATTATAGTGTAAGAAATTGGCGCAAGAAACATCTACACTCTCTTGTATAAAAGGTTCAGGCTGCTGGTGGTGAATGTTTCCTGACACACCTCAGATCTCTTAGTAACAACTGAGCATTTTTTAAATGCCAACATAGACAAAAGGTTAAAGAGGCTTAGTGTTATTTAAGATAACACTAAGTGTTTCCTTAAATAAGGACCAGACACATGTTTTGATTTAGTACTTTTTTTATCTGATCAGCAGCCATTAACCCAGTTATTTCCACATTAATGTAGAATTCAGAGCACATAAAAGCTGCCTGAGAGTTCAGAGGTCTTATAAAGACTTCTATAACTGTGTAACTGCTACTCATAAGCTGGACCTTGTATGGCATTTTTACTCTGACTTGTTTTGTTTTTGCTTTGTTCTGATGTTAAATTTGATTTTGTACCACTAACAGCGTGTCTTCGTGGCCAGGTTTCCCTTGGAAAAGAGATGTTAATCTCAAGGGACTTCCTAACTAAATAAAGGCTCATTAAAAAATGTCAGCAAATATCAACAAGAATTTAACTGATAGCTCAGGATGTGTGTGTTTTAAGCCGCTTTAGCTTGTCTACTAGATGTAAAATTGCAATCCACCTCCTCACCACTTCCCCCTTTAATGCTGCTTTTGACTTCATTAATGTCATGTCCATTGTCACTGATGACTGCTTTGTTGCTACACACATGCAACTGCACGGAGGTGTCAGACCAGAACCGTAGCATCAAATAAAATTACTGCAGATGGAAAAAACAATCATCTTTTGAGAATTGTGCTTCTGATTGTCATGCTATGTAGAGCTATGGCTAACTTACATAGATAATAGCATAACAGCAGCAACACTGGCGCACCTGGTAAAGCAGTAATGTATAATGCATGATTTGTTTGGATGTTTCTCACCACCAATATAATACAAGAGAAAGCTAAATGAGCATGTTCTAGTAAGGATGATTAAAGATGTTTTCTCACACTCGGATATTAAACCATAAGAACGTCTTTTGTGTTGTCAGGGTCCATTAATGTGTAAAGAGATTACCTCTGTGATCTTGGCACTGCGATAAGAAAAACAGCCCAAAGTCTTTGGCTGCGAATCCAAGTCTTGGCGAGACTCTGAGACTGTGAGAACCTGGTCGTTTTTCTTCGGAAGCTCTGACTCAATCTGATAAGACAGGTTGTGCAGGATACAGACGCAGTTCTCCGTGCTCTTCAGAGTAGATTGAGATGTAGATGAAGAAAGAAAGTAAAAATTGTCTGGCAAACAATTTAATAACATACGGGGACACAACAGAAACATAGAAGGGAATTCTAAGAATTCAGGCAAAGTTTACATCTGTTTGAAAGTACAAGTAAAAATCATTTGTGAACATGTAACAAAAGTGTTGTAAATCAAAGCAGTTTGCCGTGACGCAGACACAGTGAGGACAAATGTTTTCACTTCACCTTGCCATCCATCTTACGGTTAGCTACGGTTCCCCGGATGTAGTAGATCAAAGAATCGATGAGATTCTCACAATTCCTCATTGCTTCCCTGACATATCGGCCTGCGGAACTCAGATTTCTAGAAACAAAAATGTGCCAATTAGATAAGCCCATTTTAACAAAGTCAAAAGTGCTATAAAATATTTTTCTGTCATCTACACAGTTGTGCAAATTAATGGATGCACTATTTTGGACATCTTTCCGATGCCCGTGGTAATCACAGACAAATTATATCACAGACTAGTAAGACTAGCCTGTTCTTATGCAGCCCAACAACAGAGGGAAATAAATATGAAAATTAACATTCAGAATCCCCACAAGAGGCTCTTTGTGCAGCCATGGGGAACTCCCTTATTTCATCCACTGGGTGCTCAAAAGGCTTTAGAACATGATAAGGAGAACTCGATAACACTGGGTCAGAGAGGACTGAATGATTTCAGTTCAGCAAAGCCGGGGAAAGAGAGAACTCGATGAATAATTGAGTCTTTCACTCTTTTCATCTGGCTATAGTTGCCAGGGGAGCAGTGGCTCTTATATCTCCTGCTTTGCAAACAGAGCGATGATGTGTGTCTAAACAAGTCCAAAGCAGAAGTACGAGGCATAATCTCAGACCCCAGTAGATAAACTGTGGTTTGACATAATCACATGATAGTAAAGAAACTGTATAAAAATGGATGGTAGTTACTCTCTTGCTTATTATAATTTTAGTGACTAGGCAGTTCCAGACACTTTCACAGAGCTGCTAGATGAACCCCAGATGTTTCTTAAATCAACCATCATATGGTTCTTCTGCCCTTTGCACGCTCCTTCAAATTCTTGTACTGTTCACCTTTCTCCATCGGGGTCTCTACACATACCCCTCTAATCTACACCAATGAGAAAATTGACAATAGCATTAGTTCAGGTAGACCAGAGAGCCAAGCCTAGTGTCCTATCCTGGTAGATCAGCAGTCTACTTTGTCTGATGGATCAGCTGATACTCTTTGTTTAGGTTGCTTTTGCATCTTCAGTCATTTCCATCCCACATTGTAAACAAACAGTAAAAAACAGAAAATGTGCTGGTAATTTTCTGCTAATGCATTACCTATTTTGCTTGTTTGTTTCGCACAGAAATTAATTTTCATATATGGTGAAATGGAAAAAACACTGCATAATGGAAAAAACCACAACAACCTCTTCCAACCACCTGTTTCTGACTTAGTCACTGTCATCTTAGTTGTCACTGATACCCAGGGTCAGTGCCAAAGCTTATAGAGCAGATGGAGAAATAACTTTTATCTGAAGACATTTGGCTCAGTTTACTTTTATATATATATATATATAAAATAACCAAATAACTGGATGGTACTGCAATAGCTTACTGGCAATGTGAGAGTTTAGCCAGATCCAAAAACAAGCTGGAAAGCATTTTAAAAACACAATGTAACTATGGGCAGATCTAACAAACACAAGCCCCTGGGGTTACAAAACACTACTACACCAGGTTTTCCATTTATGCCGATCCATCTGGAGGCCCCAGATCAAATCTATGTCACACAGTACATAGACTGGTTTATGCAAATGGAGGAGTTTAAATTACATCGTATATATAAGATTGGGGAAACCTGCAGTCAGCTGAGATTGAAGAAGTCACTTGGATGAGTGACAAAACGTTTCTCCCACAAAACGCTACGTCCAGATGAACAGAATCGACTTTTGGAGGGTCACACAGTACAAATCCCTGGAGTTTGAGGATGTAGGTGATAAATTCAGAAGCAGAAGAGCTTTTTGTCCTTCAGGAATTAAATGCTATGATCCCAAACAATATCTTCTGATCTGTTGAAATCTTCGACCTCTTCTGTTTATAATCAGCAGATTAAGTGACACCTACAGTAGTTTTTGGTTTATCCCAATAAAAAACATCCCAGCAAGTACAGTTTTTTCGCAGCTAACAAAAGAGAACCTACCGCAGGCAGCTGGTGGCATTGATGAAAGTTTCATCATCCACTAGCAGTTCATCTTTCGGATTCTCGCCTTCAAAAATGCCAGAACTGGGAACAAGAACGGAGCGGCTGAGAGTGGATAAGGCATGTTCTGGAAAAGCCTCCTTCAACATGTCATGAGAGGAGAGGTTCCACAAAAGACCTGTGGGAGAGATTGAGATTTAGTTTTTTGCAAGGAGATAAATCACAAAAATATAAATAAGCTAGTGCTGCATTGCATATATGAGTCTCAGAGCATGATTTCATATGTATCAAAGGCAATGTTTATTTAAAGCGAGCAAAACCAGTTTTGACGAGAGCTTGAAATTTGCAAACCTAATCAGATTAAAATTAGGACATGTAGCGTGTTTAAACACAAACTAACCCGTAAGATGCCGCCTGGTCTCCTTATCGCGGCTGCTATTCAGTACAGTAGGAATCAAAGAAAAGCCTGCGTTTTCCTTAACATTAAGCTTATTTCTATCGTTCTCATAAACAGCATTACGCAGCGCCCCGGCAGTGGCACGCTGCACTTCTTCGCTGTCATTGTTAAGTAGAAGCATGAGCTTCTCAATCCCGTTCACATGGCAAATCTGGAGAAAATAGAGAAAGCAAGAATGGACCAACGATTGACAAATTCATGTATCAGGATTTATAATCGCTCTGCATCCTTAACACATAAAATACCTGTGATTAAACATACCTTGCCTCTAGCAATGGCACTCTTGAAACATTGATTTTGTATGAAACTGGTTGCACAGATCAGTTTTTCCTCTTCATTCTGGGTCAAAAGCTGCACAGCCTTCTCCATTGTCATCCTCGGAGTCTTGCTTACTGACATCCTGTGTGAAAATCCACAAATGTTTCAAAATGTAGATTATCAATACAGGATCATATTGAAATAATGAATGTACAGAACAAAGGTCTTACAGTTTTGTGACATTCTGCACGTGCATCTGCTTAATGGGCAACTGCGTTGCTGCCCGCCTGCCAGCATCCGTCTCCACACTGCTGACAGAGGGCGGGTATGAGTTCACTCTAAGGGATTTATGGTGGCCCCTTTCCCTCTTCTGTTTTAGCCCGAACATGCTATCCTTAGGCTGGATAGAACTAAACACGGTGTCACCATTTCTTCTCTGCATTTTTTCTGTGAAAGTTGGTTTCACAGTACTTTGTCTGTAAGTCCACTTAGAACCATATTCTCCATTTTTCCGAAATGCAGCATTTGCAGGTACAGATTGCAATCCTAAGGTCTGTCTAAACGTCCTTTGCTGGACGTTCCCTCGTGCAGGTGTGTATGCACATCTCTGTGTGCTATGAGGTAAATCTGAAAAAACATGGTGGTGAAAGGAAGCTGACTTTGCCAAGTGAGTGCCAACTTTGGGTGAATGACTTGATACAGAGGGGGTGGGCATCCCAGAATAAGTACTGCATTTAAAGTGCCTATGAGGTTGCTCTGGGCTTGACTGAGGGGACACTTCCAGCCTCCTGGATGGTTTGCGGTCATGGTCGCCAGAGAAGGAGTGACTGGAGAAGGACGATCTATTTACCTGTGAGAAGGAAAAACAAAAACAGCTTTAATGCACTGGCCTGGTTACCCTGCTCTTTCACTGTATGGGACTTTGTACTTCCATTTATATACTTGGATGTCATTATAGTCAGAAATACACAGCACAGCAACTACTTGTGCAAAAAGGTCATTATGATGTCTTGGTAACCCCACCCCAATGCTTTATCACTGTGCACGAGTGAACAGAACAAACTTCAGCACAAAGAAATACTGATGCGGTTTAAAATATATGACTTATTCCTTTAATGCGTTATTGTCAGAAACAGCTCCATATGTTGTCTATAAAGAGAAACATTATAGTTCACAATTAAAATCTATAGTAACTGCCTATTTACGCAAGCTGCTGCTACTTGTTTTTCTTTATAATAGGTTGAGAATACAGAAGTCACTACCCATAGACTTTAAACAAGACATAAGGATGTTCATAGACTCTTGGATTCATTTATTATTTTAATTTGTTTGTTTGTTTGTTTGTTTGTTTGTTTGTTTGTTTGTTTGTTTAATTTTAGCTCAGCTTTTTAAATTGTATGAGTGACAAAGTTGGTATTTGGGGTATGGCCTCGATGACTCACAGTGTCACTCATCAGCTAGGATTTATCTCACTGAACTGGAACTCTGATGTTAGAGTCACACAAGACTCACAAACTAGTACAAGTATAATCGAGACTTTACATTCAGAGTTCAGCTAGAAACTTACAGATCTGAAACAGAAATTTTAAAATTCCTCCACAAATCATGACGTCCATCTGCGACATGACAATCAAACAATTCAACTGGTCTTCTTTTGCTAGTTTCCAAGTCTTTTTAATACCCTGAGCCATAATGCGGTTTATGTGACAAGTAATATGTTTTGATGTGCAGTTAATTAAACTAATAGTCTGTTCAGGAAGTCTGTGCTCCAGTTCTGGTGAGTAAAATGCTAATACACTCAACAAAAATATAAACGCAACACCTTTGTTACTGCTCCCATTCCCCATGGGATGGACGTAGAGACCTAAAAAATTGGTTTGCACAACCAAACAATTTCTGCACAAACTGTCAGAAACCGTCTCAGGGACGCTCAACTGCATGCCCGTCGTCCTCATCGGGGTCTTGACCTGACTCCAGCTCGTCGCCGTAACAGACTTGTGTGGGCAAATGCTCACATTCGATGGCGTCTGGCATGTTGGAGAGGTGTGCGCTTCACGGATGAATCATGGTTCACATTGTTCAGGGCAGATGGCAGCTGAGAATGTCCCAGTTCTTGCATGGCCAGCATACTCACCGGACATGTCACCCATTGAGCATGTTCGGGATGTGCTTGACCGGCGTATACGACAGCGTGTACCAGTTCCCACGAATATCCAACAACCTCGCACAGCCATTGAAGTGGAGTGGACCAACATTCCACAGGCCACAATTGACAATCTGATAGACTCCATGCGACGATGTGTTGCACTGCATGAGGCAAATGGTGGTCACACCAGATACTGACCGGTTCTGGGTCCCCAGACCCCCAATAGCGCAAAAAACTGCACATTCCAGGGTGGCCTTTTGTTGTGGGCAGTCTGAGGTACACCTGTGCACTACTCATGATGTCAGATCAGCATCCTGATGTGGCACACCTGTGAGGTGGGATGGATTATCTCAATATAGCAGATGTGCCCACTACCACACATTTGGACTGATTTGTGACCACTGTTTGGGAGGGATGGTTATATTGTGTATCTGGAATGAATTTTAGGT